TGATTTCACGTCCCATATTTTCTCTATATAAATCAATAAAGTCTTCCCAGAACGTCTTATTTCTTAAATCCATAATATTGATTAAACCAAAAATAAATAAAAATTATATCGTAACTGCGCGTTGCGGCAGGGAATACACTCGAACCCCACCCCAGACACGACCAGTTGATACGATATTTTACGGAAGCTCCGTACTGCAAACGATTTGACGACTGCATACTACAAACCATCCAATTTCCCTACACACGCTACGATTTATCGTTAATGCGGCAGTTTCGATGGATATCGTACTGCATGCAGTACGATAAATCGTTACGTGTGTAGGCCGTTTATCACTCATCTATATAGACTGGTGGTAGCAAGGCGGCTGCGACTTCAAGTTTTTAGAATAAAGTGCCTGAGAAAGCCCACTATGATGGAGCGAAACGTCGCATAAAAAAAAGTTTCCATTTTCAATTAATAAAAAAACCTCATACCCAAGAAAAGGAAAAAACTCTATTATACAGTTATCCAGTTTACCAGTTATTCAGAAACGTTGTGTTAATCAAAAATAAATAAATAAAATAAAAGTCCGAAATTCTTTTAGTTCCACAATTCATTAACTATGCGGTATAATTACAAGATATATTGGCAATATAGCCGGGCATAGTATGTCCTCTTGGTTAGTAAAAATTAATATTCTTGCTTTATCCACAACGAAGTTATAGGGTGTCAAAAAATTGCCGTGAGTTGCTTTGAGAAAAGGATGGTACGGCTGTAGTCGACTTAGCGATACACAGATATTAATAAATTCTCAATAGTTTCTCAATAAAAATAATGTATCAAAGAAACGTGAATCGTATTGTGCTAGATTATAACTTTTAACAAATATACCAATTTTGATTAAAATTGTCTTTTTTCGCTTATTAGTAAAACTAGAACCGTTACTGTTTGTAGAGACCTAAACTATGTTTTCTTTATAGCGATATTTCTACATAGCGGATTATGTTTTTACATAGCGATGTCAAACATGTTTGCTTACAAGTATTTTTTGGAAAATATCAAAATTTTTATGTATTTTAATAACATAGTTTGTTCTAGTGAGCCAATTTTGGTAATTTTTAAAAGATCTTTAGTAAATTGTTTGACTCTTTTGAAATTAAAAATTAGACTCCCCCATCTGTCTATTATCTGAAAAAAAGAAAATGGTATTTTGAAAAAAAAAAATTGAAACACTGTGTAAAAAGGTTTAAGAAATTAAGGAATTGATGATAAAGTAATTTAAAATTACATTATCATCAAAGTGCACTTTTTCTCGATAGTTTGTTTTTTGATCCATCTAATAGCACATTTTTAGAGATGTTAGTAGTAAAACCATGTTCTTTGCTTTTGGCAATAATTACCACACCTATGACAGTAGTAACATCTATGTTAATACACAAAACATAAATCATGCAACTGTGACATTGGAATAAAAAAAATAGACTCTGATAGAGTTACAAGAATTTAATTACCTACACATAAAATATAAAAAAAATATTTAATGTTCATTTACATCAAATAATTTTGATATCCAACACATAAAACCACATTCTAATCGCAAATCCATTAAAAGCGACATCCACATAATTCACACCGGACATAAATTCAACAAGATATAAATTATGTTTGAATAGAGGATAGCCATTTTTTGTGTAGATGTTTATCATCATCCGCAAATCCCTGTCGCCAAACCAAAGATTAATTATAGCTGAATGCAACAGGGGCCTAATGTAACAGGTCATAAAAAATGAAATATATTTCTGCTGCCCGTTTGATAGGTCATTTGAATAATAAAGGCATATTTTTTAATAAAGCTTTTGCTTATGTCAACTCTAAACATGTAATAAAAGAATTTATTCAGAGGTAAAAAATTCATTTAGATTATGAACAACTGCTTCGTTTGTTTTTTTTGCTTTAAACGTAAAATGAATTTTAAATGTATCATATACCGGGTGCGTCTCAAAAGTGGCTCACCCCTATAACTTTTTTATTTTTTCAGATAAAAAAGGAGATTTGGTATATGACATAAATTAGGATTGATTGACGTCTTCAATTGTTTTTGGTCACTTCCTGTTTCACCGGAAACAACTACAACTTTTGATTTTTAAATGGCACCCTCGGTATTTTTTTACTTTATTCGATAGAAAATGACACTCTCGATAGAATGATATATCATCTATCAACTTTTGACATTTTCGCATATGGTTAATTTGAAATTGTGACATGCGGTTTGTAACGACAATTTGACTCGAAATACCAAGTGTGTGGTACCAAATTATTCGTAAAAGAATGCTTTTTCCAAATATGCTAATGAACCACCCTCGTTCCAAAATTGAGATATGATTAAACATACGATCTGGGCATCTTTTAACTGACCAGGACAAGACACTAAAACATTAGACGATCAAGTCTATTTTTCTAAGGCTCCTTGAATAAAAGTTAGTGTTTTAAACACAGCCATGGCATTCTAGATTGAAATTGACAATTTTTTTAAGCAAGAATGTCAGAAGTTGACATATCATGTGTCATTCTATTCAGAGTCTCAACTCAGTTCAGCTTTTTCCAAATATGCTAATAAGACACCCTTTTTCCATTTGAAAAAAAATTGAGATATAATTAAAATTACGATTTGGGCTTTTTTTTCTTTTAACCGGCCAGGACAAGACACGCAAAACATTAGACGATCAAATCTATTTTTCCAAAGCTCCTTAAATAAAAATTAGGGTTTTTAACACAGCTATGGCATTCTAGATTGAAATTTAAAATACAATTTTTTTAAGCGAAAATTTCAAAAAAATGATCTATGATATGTCAGTCTATCCAAAGTGTCATTTTCTAACGAATAAAGTATATATATACCGAGGCTGCCATTTAAAAATCAAAAGTTGTAGTCATTTCTGGTGAAACATGATGACATCCTTTTTAAATTCAACAAGACAGAACACAAATCGCTTTGTTTTTGAATGTTAGTAATTTAAAACTCTAAATATTTACTAATAACAAGCCTAACATTAACTTTAAAATCAAGAAAAAAAACTAGCCGTAAATTGAAAATGTCATAATCACATTTTCTTGAAATGCACAGTAATTATTGGGACTTAGAACTGCAGCTTCAATCGTAGAATGCATGCAAAACTGAATAGTTGCAGAGCTTAAAGCAACCTGTTTAATAGCCTCAATAATTGTTAGTCGTTAAGAAAGATAAATCGGCGAAAGTTCATAAAACGTGACCACCCAAAAAAAAAGAAAAAAGAAAAGCAGAAAAGTACTTTGCCAGAATGGTCCTGGCAGCCTAGGCAGCGCAACTCTCTCCTGAAAAGGAGAGTTTAAGAAGAAAGAAGAAGAAGAAGAAGTGACCAAATACAATTGAATACTTCAATCAATCCTAATTTATGTCATATACTAACATACCAAATCTCCTTTTTTATCTGAAAAAATAAAAAAAGTTGTTGGGGTGAATTCAGAATAAAATACTTACCATCAGTCAGAAGTCTGTATACGTGATCAGATTTATCAAATTTAGTCTTTCAAACTTTTTATTATTATTCGCATTGTGATTTACAAGTAAATTTGAGAGAAAGTTTTTTTAAAACACCTGGGAGGTTACTTTCAATATACCAAGTTTAATTTTTAGATAATCTGGATATACGAGTTTAAACTAATGAAAATTAACTGATTAAAAAAAATCCTTATGGGTTTTTCGCCACTGCACTGCAAGAAAAATCTACAAAATAAAATAGTTATTTTTTGTAAACACTTCTGGCGTTAAACCTAAACGGACGCTGCTTGTCAGAAGTTGTGTTTACAGTAATAAAAATTTGCCTAACAAAGAAAAAAATGCTTAACGTTTCGGAAAGTTTTCTCTTTCCGTCGTTGGAAGCAAAAAATATAAAGAATTAAGAAAAAAACTATTTAAAATAATGAAATTGAACTATTCGAGATCACTTTACTTTTTAAAACAGATACGTCTACAAGAAATCGTTGACGTTCTGTTAAAATGACATTATATTAATTTAAACTTCAAAATTAACAATTACTACCTGATAATTACTTAATAAGGTAAAACCAAAAAGCCCAAACTTTCTGTATTATTATTTTTAAATTTCACGTATGTTATCTTTATTTATGTATAATGTTCTTTAAAATCAAAGAAGCGATTGCCATACATTACTAACATCTACAGATGCATGAGCAATACATTTAGTTTTATTAGATTGAATTAAAAAAGCCTCTTTTATTTTTCTTCTAGAGGCTATCGCTTCTTTCATTATAATTTTGGCGTTATTAAAATTTATTCTGTGCCCTGTGTCCCATGAATGCTGACAAATCTTAGATTTGTGAAAATCTCCCTTTCTTAAATAATCTTTATGTTCTTTAATTCTAACATTTAAGGGTCTAGATGTTTCACCAATGTAAAATTTATCACATTCACAGGGTATTTGGTATATTACATTTTTTGTTTGTTGTTCTGTATTCATTGGTTTAGTATGTATTATTTTTTAGTATGTATTATTTTTTTTATTTTGAAGTTTAACTTAATATAATGTCATTTTAACAGAACGTCAACGATTTCTTGTAGACGTATCTGTTTTAAAAAGTAAAGTGTTCTCGAATAGTTCAATTTAAATATTTTAAATAGTTTTTTTCTTGATTCTTTATATTTTTTTGCTTCCGACGACGGAAAGAAAACTTTCGAAACGTTAAGCATTTTTTCTTTTTAGGCAAATTTTTATTACTGTAAACACAACTTCTGACAAGCAGCGTCCGTTTAGGTTTAACGCCCAGAAGTGTTTACAAAAAATAACTATTTTATTTTGTAGATTTTTCTTGCAGTGCAGTGGCGAAAAACCCATAAGGATTTTTTTGGATAGATGAATCCGCCACATAGGTATAGACATTTTTTAACTGATTAAAATGGATTTAACTTTTTGTTTGAATGTGGTTTTAAAAATATCTAATTCTAACAAAATATTTTTCAGATATATCTTGGATTATTTGCGTGATGGTACCCTGGTGCTTCCAGATTGTTTTCGAGAGAAGGAACGACTGAAAAAAGAAGCTCAAAAGTACCAACTTCATAGCTTGGTAGACATAATGGTCAACGACAGTAGGTGTAAACCTCCAGGTGGGTTAACGTTATTAGGCTCTCCTTAGTTATTTATATTTTATGTTTTTACATAAAATATAAAAAACATATTTATGTTGTATTTTTTTGTCTAAAGCTTCATTCAGAACCTCGTTAGTTAAAAAATAGGGCACAATAGATCTTTAAGGTCGCGGTGATTAACCTGTCACTCATTCTAGTTAGTTAAATTAGTGGAATAAATTAGTGGTTTCTATTAGCGTAGAAGCGTTGATTGAAACGCTTGAAATAAGTAGAAGCGTTGTAGTCAGTGGCGTAGCTACCTAGAGGCTAGGCAAGGCAGTGCCCCGGGGCCCTCAAGCTCAGGGGGCTCTCGAATCCTAACCAGAAATCTCGATCAAACTGAACTTTTGGAAATTTCTCTCATTTTCAAAATAAATATCAGAAAAGACAGGTTGCAACCCCACTTTAATCATGAAACTCAGTTGAGAGAAATTCAAAAGTTATGCCTAGAGAATTCCCCTAAATTCTTTCTGTATGTTGGCAGTGTTGTCAATTTGACGGATATGTGCGTTTTATTATTCATCAATGTGCGTTTTATTGTGAATTCGAGTTAAGATTTTTTTTTCGGGAACGGTTAAAAATTTAATGCTGTATCAGGAGTAAGTAAGCTAATGTCAATAAACTTTTTTGTACTGGTCAATATAGTGGTTCAATTATATTTGATTTTACCACTCATATTGACGTCCGTTAAGTCAATAAATCGTGTAAAATCCAATCATTTCGGCTACAGTTCATTCTATAGCAAATTTATAGAAATTATTTCAAATTATTCAAGTGCAAAGCCAGTAAAACTGCAAGAAAATATGGTATTGATACCCATTTTCAAGAAAAAAGGCAAAGAAAAGTTAAAAAACATTTTGATGAATTAGCTGCTGATCCCCGGTTGCCAAACCGAGAAAAAATATTTAAAATTGAGATTTTCAATAACGACACAGTAATATCTCAATTAGATACACGTTTTATTGGTATGAGTGCAGTCTGTCATATTTCATATTCATGTTCATATTTTTATTTGATAAAACCTAATCAGTTTACATAGCAGTGGGCCCCATTTTTTAATTTGCCCCAGGGCCCTTGGTTACCTAGCTACGCCACTGGTTGTAGTTGTAGAAGCGTTGAAATATAAAGTTGCCCAATTTGAATTTTAATATAACGCGATTTCGTGACACAAAATCTGTCCAAGATGTAGCTGGCGTTACCGTCAGCCTCTCCGAGATTTAGTTTAGCTCTGCGCCGCTGCGCTGCTGAGTCGTTTACAGCGCAGCGGATAAAGAATACTCTACCGTAGGCATTTATACATTCGGTACATGTATACGGCACCTATCAATCCCATTGGTCAGATTTGAATTTTAAACCAATTAAACTCCGAGTGCCATACCCGAGTATGGAATGAAAGACAATGCCATATGCACTTACGGAATATACCTTAGACATTACTATTAACGCTTTGTTATAGAGCATTCCAACCAAAACCAAACCAGCCCCACCAAATAGCTAACCTAACCAACGCAATCAATTCTACCAAATAGCCATCTTAACCAATGCAACTAACTCCACCAAATAATCAATCTAACCCCACCAAAAAGAGTGAAACCCACGCAATCCGTATTTTGATTGCTATTAAATATTTACAGCTTTTTTTAAAAAATAAAAACAGTTATGGTCCGGCGGCGTGAGATTTGAGCCACACGGACCTCTCGTTCACGAAGCGATGGCCTCAGTCACGGAGCCACAACTACTCTTCTGTACTCTTGCAAGATTAGCTATAGCCAGGCGTTACTTTCTGCCGCAAGCATAATTACCAGGTACATTCCGTAAGTGCGCATGGCACTGTCTTGCATTCCATACTCGCATATGGCACTCGGAGTTTAATTGGTTTAAAATTCAAATCTGACCAATGGGATTGTGCTAGGTGCCGTATACATGTACGGAATGTATAAATGCCTACCGCACAGAATATACTAACGAAAAAGAAGCCCAAGTTCCTTGTAATAAATCGGTTCCATGTTCGTAACGCTATCTCTCGACAAAGCTGACATTTACAGGTTAGCCAAAGGGGTGCGGGGCCGGGGGGAATTGTACACTTTTTTATTTTTTACTTTTTTTGAAAATACACTTTTTTATTTTAATTATTTTTATTCGCTATTTGCAATTTTATTTTTAAAACATATTATCTGAAACAATCACATAATATGTCTTAAAAATAAAATTACAAACGGAAACAAAAGGAATTAAATAATCTGAAAATCTACAAAGTTTATTGATAAAAAAGTTAGGCTATGCAAATTGATATATTAAGTATAACCTCTTTGGTATAACATTGTTAAACAAACATTAACAAATCATAACATATCAGATCATAGAACTAAAAAAAGTACTATTACATAAAAACAGGTGATACAATACTTCAAAATTAATTTTAACATAATATCAAAACCGAAAAATCAAATTGCAAACACAACCTCACTTATCACAACAGAAATTAACACACACTTCCGCGGCAAATGTCCAAGCAGTGCCTTCTATTAAAAGATCAGCCTACGGGCGAGATTTATGACGTCACGCTAGTTAGATATAACGGATTAATAAATATGTTGTAGAATACATGGAAAACATAATTATTCCTCAGATTTTTGGTTTGTATTTTAAAAATGATATATCTTAAATGAAATATACATACTATACAGTTAATAACTACAACATATATACCTATTTATAGTAATAAATACTTTGGCAAATAAACTATGAACCATACAAATGCAGCAAATGTTTTACAATGTACAAATAATGTATAGGTACATAAGATAATGGGTAAAATGTAAATATATTTTAAATTTTGGGGTTTGAAAATCGATCTAATTTAACAAAAAACATTTAATATCTACTAATAGTGATGTATTATTATTTGCATTCACAAAATTTATATGTATATTTTGCAAGTATCAATGTTCGAAAAATTATATTTACAAATAATACAATATTATCTAAAAAAAGGCGTCAGCGATGGTTATGAAATGAAGATCGCTGGCATTTTATATGTTAAATTATTCTAAAATTTTTTTATTTTCTTGGGATTTTTTAGGTTCAGGGAAAAACGCTGATTAAGTTTTCATTTGGGTTTTCATTATTTTTATTTGGTTTAAAAAAAAACGTTTCGGCTAACTATAGCCTTCACAGTGTTGTGTCATATGAGAAAAATAGTGTCGAATATAATCCAAAAATTACATATACAATATAATTCACACCTCATAATGTTTACTGCAATTAATAAACTAATATAAACTTATCAAAAGATGACCACATATTTTTTAAAATTATTATTCTTAACACTAAAATTATCTACATTGACTATGGAGTACGCAGTAAACATTATGTGCGTGGTGTGAATATTTTATATGCAATTTTTGGATTATATTCGACACTATTTTTTTCTATGACACAACACTGATGGAGGCTATAATGTTAGCCGAACCGTTTTTTTAAACCAAATAAAAAATAATGAAAACCCAAATGAAAAATCAATCAGCGTTTCCCAAACCTAAATTCCAAGAAAATAAAAAATTTAGAATATTTAGAATCAAGGTTCAAGAATATCAAATTTTCCAAGATTGTAAAATTCTAGTTAATTATTTTATGTGTACAGTTATTTAGGGAATGTCATCGATGTTCATTTCAAGCCAACTAGACGCCGATTTTTTCGATGATACGGTATAATTCTTACGTAAAATGTAAATAACATTAGACCAATTAAAACAAAGAAATATGAATTTCTTAGTATTTTTAGTAACACCTTTATTCTTAAAACTTAATTTTGTATTATGCAAATATACCAATTTTATTGTTATTTTATTCATATTGTATTCAGCCATCACTTAAATATTTGATATTAATTTGGTATTATAAATAATCAATACTATTCATTAAAAATTACTGAACAAATATATGTTATGCTTAACATACATTATATATTATCAAACAAAAACACATTCTTCTTTTTAAACTGTATCAGTCTTGTCTTTTTAAAATTTGAACTCGAAATAATAATCTTTTTCATGATCTCTAATACACATATTCTTTATTTTTCCCTAGATCATAATACCTACTTACGTGTTTGAATCTATCGAAGCTGAACCAGCAACACTTGGAGTGGAGATTCCACAATATGAATAAAATAAACATAATTGTCCAGTTTTCATTAATACCATCATGGGAGAATATTATTTTTAAATTTATTAAAGATATTTTCAATAAAATTCTCTTGATTTATAACTCGTACCCACTTTTCTTGCTCTTCCGGACACTTTAGGCTGCCTAGTATAATAACTATCCTTAGTAACTATCCTTTCCACCAGGAACACAACAAAGATGAGGCATAGCACCAAAAACACACTCCACTTAAGCTTTATTGATGAATTGTTAGAGTCTTAAAAACACACACAAAAATCACGATAAGTAAAAAATGTATGGGCACTTTTAGGTTAAATCACTTGCACAACGTGTAATTTTTAAAATTTCTATTTTTTATGCGAAACCGAGAGTGACCATATATCTGGTAGTAGTTTATGTCACTTCAACACCAAAATAATTAGTTTTTTGCACTACATTAATAAATAATACCAAAAATCAAAGAGTTAAAACCAAAAATCAACTGACAAAATATGAAACGGAATCTAACCCAATATCTAAGTATGTACAGCTGATGAAGTAAACAAAAGTCCGCCCGTAGGCTGATCTTTTAATAGAAGGCACTGGTCCAAGAAAGACTGCACAAAACACATACACAAGAAGAAGTGCGAGCGCCTTGCTAAATATTGGAAAGTGAAATTGACGTTTAAATTTGACACTGTTGACAAGTCTACTGCTACTAGCGCCCCCAATTTCGCTTGTAGGAACTACGGACTAAATTGTCACGCATGGCGGGAAGTTTAAAAAAATAAAAAAAATATTTCTTTATTTATTTTTAATTATGACATACACAA